GGGGGGGGGTGAGGGCGAGAAAGAGAGAGGGCCAAGGGTGAGAGAGATGGGAAGGGTGCGGATGAGGGCGAGAGAGAGAGAGAGAGGGTGCGAGAGGGGGAGGCATGGGCCCGCGGGGCGCAGCGCGGTACGGCGGCAACGGGCCAGCGCAGCGCAGGGCAGGGCGTGGCGGGGCCGGGCAGCGCTTTGGCAGCGGCGGCGCGGCGGCGGCGCGGGGCGCGGGGCGGGGGAGCCGAGCGGAGCCAAGCCGAGCGGGACCGAGCGGCGCAGCGGCCGGGGCCGGGCCGGGGCGGCGCGGCGCGGCTGGCGCGGCAGGGCAACGCCAGTAGAGTAAGGAGCGGCGACCAAGCAGCATCGCGAGTGAGCCCAGCGCAGCGCTCGCTCTCACCGCGTGCTCCACGAAGTGCCAGCCGGTAGAGCGGCAGCGCCCGCCCCGCGCGACGTGCCCCATTCGCCCGGCCCTTCGCGAGTGCCCCTCACCTCAGTCAGTGTTTCGGTGGAGTGATATGTGATTTGCTTCGGATTTTTGGATTTTCTTCTTCGCCCACGTCAAGTGCGTTGGTGTGATCTGACTTTGTCAGCCCTGTGCGTCAAGTGACTAAGTGTGGTGAGCGGGTCAGTACAGACCTCTCTCACCCTCCGCGGCCTCTCTCACGGATTACTTCGGACGTCTCGCGTGTGACGCGGACGTCACCCCCTTCCCCGTGACGAGTCCCAGCCCCAGCTTCACCACGGCGGCCGAACCGGTCTGCGTCATGAACGCGGTGGCCAACTTCGCCAAGCTGGCGACGGCGCCGCCGCCCTCGAGCAAGAGGCCGGTGCGCCAGTCGCTGCTGTCGGTGCGGGAGAAGATCGACGCCATCGACCGCGTCCACGAGGGCGAGTCCAAGGCGGCCGTGGCACGCGACATCGGCGTGCCCGAGTCCACCCTGCGGGGGTGGTGCAAGACGGAGGACAAGCTGCGCAGCCTGGCGCGCGCCTGCGAGGGCTCGGACACACCGCCCTCCGACCTGGACAAGGCCGGCCTGGACCAGGACCCCTATTCCCCAGAGCCGCTGGCCAAGCGCTTCCGCGTCGAGTCTGAGAACAAACCGGCCGAGGCCGTCGTTGACGACGCCCTCCTCTACTGGCTGAAGCAGCAACAGCAGCACGTCGGCCTTGCCATGAACGAGCACCTGCTGGACGCCAAGATGGCCTCCGACGGCGTAGTGGGCGCTGACAACAGCAGCTGGTTCTGGCGCTGGTACAAGCAGTACGGTGTGCAGACTCAGCCTCTCCCCTTGGCTGAGCGCGCCGAGCGCTCCGTGGACATGGACCGCGAGCGTGAGCTGCGGGAGCGCGAGCTCCGCGAACAGGAGCTGCGGGAGCGCACGGCCGCCGACCTGTCCGCCACCATCACCCCGCCGTCGCCGCCCTCGCAAGACTACCTGGACCGCGACTACGACGCGCCGCTGTCTCTCGTCAAGCCGCGGGAGCGCGACAGCGACAAGGAGCGCGAGAACGACAACCTCAACCACAATCACAACCACCTCAACCACAACAGTGTGCATCACGAGCACCTGAGCCACCTCAGTCACCATGTGAAGGACCACCTGGACAATAACAACGTGACGGACCTGCGCAAGCAGCCCCTGCCACAGCACCAGCAAACCCTGCAGGCCCTCCAGGCACACCATCGCGTCGTGGAGTCTGAGGACGAGGACGACGAGCCCCCAGAAACGGCTGCCGAGGCGGTCAAGCACGGCGAGCGCTTCCTGCGGTGGCTGGAGTGCTGCTCGGACCCATCAGTCACTGCCCTGCAGATTCTCCAGTTCCGGTATCTGCTCAACAACGTGCGCGCCTGCGCCGACCGTCGTTCGCGGCAAGGGAAGTCCAAGGACCGCGAACGGTCGAGGAGGAAGTGAACTCGTTAAAGTGATTGTTTTGTGATGAACGTTACCGTCATCTGATAGCAGTCCACCTGCTGAGATTTAAGTAGTCATCGAGTCATGTCGTCTGTTCTATTTTTGTACAGCTGTCATCCCAGCACATGGTGATGGCTGAATTGTATGTGCCGGTGTGTGACTCGCCAGCAATACTGATGACATATGTATGTGGGTGTACTGAATTGCATGTGCATCTTCCAGTTTTGACAGTTCTGTATGAATTTCTGTAATTGTATTTTCAGTCAGCTAGATGACAGAGTAGTGTTCTCTGTTAAACATCATTACTCATTAATTTGTTTTTTCTTTAAGTTTCTTTCAATGGTACTTAAAGTAGGTTAACACTGTGAAATAGCCAATCAGTTTTCAGGCATGTTTTGCTCTCTTCAGCCAATTAGTGACGCATACTTGGACTCTGCAATGTGTACCTGTAAATGTAACTTTGCTTGCAAGCATTGGATTAGTCTTTCATAGCCCTAATTTAGCCATGTTTTTAGATGGGCTCTCTCTGTATTTTGCGTTATTGAAAGACCTGCTCAGTATTTCGCTACTGGTATATTTACCAAAGGTTCACAGTTTGTATGTTATTATAACTTTGCCATATTAAGTAGCCATCAGTAATCTGGTGTCTTTTTTTCCTTCACTTTTTTTTTCTTGACTGATTGTTCAGTGATTGTTTCTGGCTACCATGCCTGTTACTTATGATCAAAGTTTGATATGCTTACTATGTATTCTGAGGAGTCGTTCATGCATTTATTAAATAGTTTACCATTGCCATATGTCCTACAAATTGTGATTTTGCTCATGTTGTGCTTAGTAGTGTTATGTCACTTTGGGTTTGTTTTTTGGTTCTAGTATCTTGTTAATTTTTGAAATTCTTTTGATCAAAATCCCCTTTTTGTTTCTGATAATGTCCGAGGAAAGAGCTTGCCAAGCTAAGTTCAGTGGCATTTCAATGCTTAACTGTTGATCTTACATATGTCATTCCACATTGGTCTCATTTCTTGTTTTGTAAATTTTGAATTGCTTTGTTACAAGGTTCCTAAGACTTATCTTTACCTATGTTGCAAGTTCCATGTTCATTTAAGTATTATGTTTGTGGTTACATTATGGGAGTGATGTGCCAAAACTATAGCTAGTATATTAAGTATTGTTTGATCT